GAAGTATGCCAGGGATATCACCAGAGAGTCTTAAGTGACTTGATCACAAATATTTTTTATGGCCATTACTTTATGCAAAATCAGCAGAGGTTAATTACTGCATTTATCTACTGGCCCTATTAGAGTTGCACACTGGCAAATTTTTCATATGATAGTTTTCATCAGCTGGAAAGTTTTTGTAACAGGTTAGTCTTTCTCAACGTATTTAACTTATGGTTAACTTTTGTGAAGTTTGCAAGGCTAGTAATCTCACGTGTGGGGACAAAATGGCTGCGGACAATAGGGGATATCAGCTGGAAAGTTTTTGTAACAGGTTAGTCTTTCTCAACGTATTTGACTTATGGTTAACTTTTGTGAAGTTTGCAAGGCTAGTAATCTCACGTGTGGGGACAAAATGGCTGCGGACAATAGGGGAACTCATTTATACCCTTACGAAGTATGAGTAAGAGGAGCGACTCCCAATAATATTAATCATAATTTAAAATAAATAAAAAACGCGCGCATGGGACGCTGCAGTCACTTCATTCTCGCTACAATTTCTCATTTCTCAAGCGTCAAGCTACCGAAAAACCATGGGCCCGTACATGTCGTGAGGTTAACCTGATCCCCTTTCGATATGTAATGCGAAACAACTCCTGTGAGAAGCGCGGAAAAGCGATTAAGAAGGCCAGATGGGCGCTGCATTGGAGAGGGGACGAGTAGGTGACCCGGCCAATATGGCGTCAATTCCACACAGCCTGTGCCAGCCTAGCGCTGCCAGCTTTCCGCTCTAGGTATATACGATCTCTATGATCTTGACACTAGAGATACGGTTCCTTAGCATCGGCGGAACGAATGTTGTCTTCATATAACGTCTCCTACTTGCATGCACTAAAATTGCATCATAATGTTCTAGTAATATTTTTTGGGGATCATTCTGAAGGCTTATCCGAAGCGCTTTGTCAACCTCGACGGTTTCCCCACAGGAGATACCAAAGCTACATCAGCGGTGGAGCTAGTGCATGGAAGGGAGCTAAGAAATGAGCTGCCACCGCAGTTTTTCACTGCTACCTGTATGTGATTCGAAAAACTTATAAAGACAAGGGAACGCTGACTCACCAGGGCACATTGGAAGGCCATGATGTTATCTTCAGGGCTGTGGAAATATCATCATGGCTGGCATTCGAACAATCAACCGCCACACTGCCAATGGAATCTTTCGTGCACTCGCAGGGTTTTATGGATTGGCTGGGGCATTCGAATGCACCAGACACCAAAGCGGGATAGAAAAGGAAGCGGAGTGATAACAATGGTATCATCACAGGATTCAAGGAGAGCTGAAAATGGTCTATTGCGTCGGTCCTCGTCTGGTTCTCTCTCCTTAGATGATGCAAGGAGATCCACGTCTGTACGACAAGTATTCCTGTTGGAACAGAAGAACACTTCTTCACATGACAGAAACCATGAACCCATAGATGTTTTACTGGAAGTGATGCCGATGGATATCAATGAACTAATTTTTCTCCATGTTGATTCTCTTCCAAGGACATGTTGCCATTCCTTGGTCTGTCGAGAAATATGGTATTTTTAAGAAGCCGTAAATCTATCAGCGATGATTGCTGTTGTCGAAAGAACTGTATGGCATGGAAATCTTGCGCATACTGGCATCCAAAGGAAACTTTACTTGGTGAGGTAGGGCTCGCCCGTGTCGTAGGAGTCGTGATGATATTATACCTGCCCTTTGCTAGACGAGCTAACACCGCCTGAACATTTGTAGCGTGTACTTGCCAAAGACTTGCCTAAAAATGATTTTCTAGATAATCTCCATGCTCTACGTAAGGTCCAGATTTACATAGGTAAACATAGGTAAGGTTTAAAATAAACTGGTTGGTTCCACTATGCGTGTCATACCGTCTCCGAAAGGCATCAGAGTTATCCCATGGCTTATACGGCAACAAAGGAACAGGGCGATCAAAACACTTCAAGATGGTGTTGGGGCTTTTTCCGGAGAAAAGTCAGAAAATTCTTTAAAGTGTTTACAGTGTAGTTTTGTCGCACATTGAAAGCCTGTCGCTTTGTATTCGGACGACCTCAACGATTGAAATCTCAGAAAATAAGCCTTTTTGAGTAAGACTTATAATAAGCCCTTGATTAATTGATTAATTCGAGGATAAGGATAAAGACGGCCTAAAATATGTCTTTCCGCTCTGAAAAATGCCAGAAGACGACTTGGAACGCACCTGATATAGGGTCCTGGCTCCGACACGGTCTGGAGTTTATCTGTTTCCAACTTTCTCCAGATCCGACTTCATTTCCCTTTCGCCCCGAGGAAAAGGACGTTGACTTATCTAGGGATATCCGTTTACGGTCCGGTTGGTGCCGAATGAGGCGTTTCCGCTCATTTCCATTCTGATATTTTTTATCTGCCATTTCCATATGAGAAAACGGCAGCTATTACGGGCGATCTTTCACTCTCTTTTGTGAGAAAAATCGCTCCCCTTTTTCTAAGATTGTACAGTACACAATGGGGGAGAGCGTCTGCTCCCGGCCGCGCAGAAAGCGTACGCGTGAAATACTGTATATGATATCCTACGGTACACTTCATACTCTCCTCCTATCTGCTAGCGACGCGGTCGCGCAGACCATCGAAAACACGTCTAGTTGTGTTGGACTTTTCTTGCATAGGCCTATATCGTACCAATTGAACTTATTTATTTCAAGGTTGGACGGTTAGATGGGGCGAAAGAGGTATAGGTGATAGAGGGGTGATGGGGTAATACAGGTATAGGAGCCAGTGGAATAGCAGATCTGTATCTGGGTTGGTACTCTCTTGCCTTAAAAGCGCGACAGAGCCTCTCCACCCATGCTGCACTCCGATTGGTTTAGAACTTTCTAATGGGCATGATCTCAGAACGGGCTTCTGACATTTGACATTAGTTGGATTGGTGCATATTATTCCGATTGTTTCAGCGTTCTCGAGAGGCGCTACCTGATACGAGCAAATGGATTTTCAAATAAGGGTTATGCAAATAAGAAATGCCCACTCCTCCATTTGAAGACTCAAACAGACCTAAGGGATGAGGATAGAGTCCTCACTTCGCCATGGAGGACGGGGCCTCAAAGAGATATCAAAATTAGTCTTCATGTTTCTAAAATCTTAACGTTATCCTCTCTTCCTAAAAATTATTTCCTGGCCAGTATCAGAGACGTACCCATAAATTATTTTCGGGTGTATTCTTGCTGCAGGGCTTTTTCTGGCTCATAATAGGAAAAAAAGGGAAACGTGCATGGTACCGACCAGTGCGGAGCGCGTCCTGGTTCTCGTGGCTCAACTGTGACCTCAGTGCCCTTCTCCAACGCTCATTGTTCCCTTAACTTGTGGCAAGTCGTGCGGTGGAATAGTGCCACGTCAATTCAAGTACATCTGGCTTGGATCCTCTCTTTTTATTAAACGCCACAGTTGGCTGACTAAGCGATAGGGAGAGGAATGCACCGCCCAATGGGAGCCTTCCTTGGGGGAGGGGGGGTATGGTGGCGGGGTGGAGCTTTGTATCCCCAAGCACTTAGTTGCTTGGGTGGGACTCGCTCGAGGCAGGGTGCATCAGTCGGCCGCGGTTTAGTTTGCAAAAAATTACTCTAAGTATCCTGGACGATCTCGTCTCAAAAAATCTGTCCCTGCCCGTTAAAAGGCAAGAGCAAGGAATAGGCGACAGGCCCAAAGTCATTAGGGTCTTTGTCACTGTTCTCAAAGAACTTAATTACATATTGCCACTTTTTGAGAACTTGGAAGTAAAATGACTTGAAGATCTTCGTCCGGGATGCCCGCCCTTTAAAGGAAATCGAATCCAGAAATTATCTTCGAAAATATACATTTATTTGGTTGCAATTATTAAGGGCCTTAATATCACATCAATGCATTGGGTGGTTTTCATCATGCATTGGGTGGTTTTCAAATGCTTTCGGAAGTCAGTCAGAAGTTAGTGAGGAGCTTATGGTTGTTAGATTGCCAATGAATAAGGCCCTCCAGAGTGGCTTGGTGTTTCAAAGCTTTTTTCACTTGCCGTAGAAGTAACTGCGCTGAAAAAGGTCGTGACTGCGCACTGATTGGGTTCACTGATAGATTCAAAATCTTGAATAGTTGCGAAAGAGAGCTTCATTTCAGGGAAGCAGCAAGGATGATGCACTTATGGCCGTGGTGAACGACGGGAAGAACTTGTCTGAAGTCCGGGGTGAGGGGCTAGGGGATGTACGAAACGCCTCATCGGTTGTCCAACTCGTGTTGACTGTTAACCTGATCCCCTTTCGATATGTAATGCGAAACAACTCCTGTGAGAAGCGCGGAAAAGCGATTAAGAAGGCCAGATGGGCGCTGCATTGGAGAGGGGACGAGTAGGTGACCCGGCCAATATGGCGTCAATTCCACACAGCCTGTGCCAGCCTAGCGCTGCCAGCTTTCCGCTCTAGGTATATACGATCTCTATGCACCATCCTGAACGTGCTATAGCACTTTTGTAAGTGAAATACTTTATTTATAATCACTTTTACTTCGGTGATATGGCAACAGCCTATTCTCGCTCGAGTTCGCTTGGAGCTCGCACTATCTAAACTCAGCGCTTCGTTACTCTCAATAGTAAAATCCGAGTACTATGTTCGGTCGCCAGTACCCCCTGCGATAATTTCCTTGAGGCTCCTCGCCGTGAAATGAATGGTTAAAAGCAGGGCATATTTTAATGTGCAGTTGTAACAGATATGTGCAATTCTGAATGAGGATTTGAGCAGCTTAAACCAGGCAAGAATTACATTTCGAAACAAAAATTTACTTGAAAATGGTACCAAATCTAATTTTTCGTCCCAAATTTTCTCACTCTGCACAGAGGGAGGAGGAGGGGTACGGACAGGTGGGCGCTTAGCGCCGTGTCAACTACTCCAACAGAAGAGTTATAATCATTGTATATTCAGCACTGATTTAAAAAAAAAGGTTCATGGAAAAGATGAAGGAAAAAAGTTTCATGAACCTCGGTCTAGTAGGCCTTCAAGGGAATGGGATTGTAGTACCTGAAGGAATAAGAAAAAAAGGAGAGAGAGATAATTAAAAAAAATGGGGGGAAATCAGGAGCCGAACAAGAAATGGATAGAAGAGTTGATGCCATCCGGAGAGCAGATACAAAGTCGAAATTTTATATGATTTTCTAAAGAACGGCGAGATTCCTGGGAAGGGTGAGAATGATGCACTCTGTTATTGTCGACAGAATGATTTTGAAGACAGAAATGAGATGGAACTGGCTCTGAAGATTGGATATGAATGCCCCCGAAAGTGCTCCACAAAACGATCCCCCAAGCGATGTCCAGTTTCACCTACGTCAAATTTGGAAGGGCGGATGGTGCATTTTTTCCTTCAGCCATTCAATGGACTTTTTTTAAATTATAAAGTGCTGAATATAAGTTACATCTTATAGGTCTATGACCACTCCCATCTCTAGTTATAATCATTGTGCAGTTCTGATTTTTTTTTTCCTATAATATGTCCTGGTTAAAAGAGCATGAGAAAAGTTTGGCCAAGTCGAGAGCATGAGACCATGGTTAGCAAGCATTCTCATCAACAGGAATTGGAGTACGCAACATGTGCACTTGCACCAACCACTTTTTCTGTATGGACTTCTCAGCAAACACATGTATCCAGGAATGAACTTATCTCCGAGTCACTTACGCCGAAACCTGACTAGAAGGTATGCCTATAATTTCATGGTATGCAGGCAAGAATTATAATCATATTCAGGAATATACCTACAGCATCATATCAGACATTATAAGACCGAAAGAGGAGAACACATCTTCAAAGATGAATTAAAGCTGCAACTTTTCAGTTTACGACTAATAAAGTTTTATGAACAGACTTCAGTTTCAATTGTATTAGAAAAGTGAAAATCCACCTTTGTACCAGAATTTTAATGAATCTTCTCTATTTTTTAGCACGATGCATATTTTCAGACAATAGTGCATCTCATGCAATAGTCACTCATGGGATGCAATTACCATTCACTAATTAAAACCTGTTGTGTATGAGGCAGGTTTCCCAAGCAAGCAGGCACATAGACTGGATTGCATTGACTGGGAGGCACCCACATTTCCTTGGGACTTCCTTACAGTCGTCTAGTATGCAACCAGGGAGATGAAGGTTCCAGTAGCTATCGGGTCCCACAACCAACAAGAGCTCCTACCACCTTACTGTAGACTAAGGGTGCAAAGCACAGAGAATATTCCAATTTGGAGGGATTAGCCAAAATATTTATTGAGGAGTAAGAGAATATTTAAAGCACTCCTGGATATGTCCCTAAATGTAAGGAATTACTGCATTCTGACAGGATGCATCCCCCATTAATATCCTAGGCATGACTGTAAAATTGCACCCTGACAGACTTTTCCACATTCAAGATTGCATGCCTCAATCAGGTTTTACACTTTGACATTCAACCTGCTGTTACTGTTCAGTTCTATTATTGCTGTCAATGTTACAATCCTGGTACCCATACATTTTTTATTCCACATTGGCACAAGCAGGCTTAGGGCACATAAAAGGAGCCTTCTGCTTATTTTGATCTTGTTCAATCATGTGCCACTCTCAAACACTTGACATGACACTTATGTAAATCTTGGTGACACTTGTAGTTATGCAAAAGTATTTATGAGAATTCATGTTTTTTGTCATGAAATTAAGAAGTTAGCACTTGTTAGCACTTGACAGTTGCTGGTCTAGTACCTGCACTGAGACTGTAAAACAAGTAAGTTTGTTTTACATATTCCTGTTGCATAACTCATGGAGGTTTACTGAAAGTTCCAATAAAATTATGTTAAAATTGCCAACTTCATTATTCTCTTTAATAGTTCATGCAGCTTTTGGCAACTTGCAGGAAAATGCTTGGCCATCAATTTAGGGGCAAAAAATACATAAAATGCTCAACTGTCCAAGCATTATAGGTAGATCACCTAAAATGCCCATCTGCCTGAAGCAGAAGATCTTTTACCAGTGTGCCCCCTCTGCAATGACCTTCAGATTTGAGACAGACTATAAGATGAAGAAAACGGCAAATGACATGAGGAAGGATTAAGAGATTCATCACCTGGAGACAGAAAAAGAAATTCCTGAATCTGAGAATGGATGGGATTGGAGATCAGGAATAAGGTAAATCAAAGCAAACACAAGTGGATAGGCAATTGGATAGTGGGTAAGCAATTACATGAAGAACTGATTTAAAATGGACCAGAAAGGCCACAGAACTGTACCCAGGAGGAGCAAATGGAAACAGAGGATGACAGAAAATGCAATGAAGACAATAATGCTAAGCTAGTCTGAGTGAGGTGGATTAGTGGGAAGGCATGGGATTCAGTCAGCTTGTGTGAACCAGAGGAGGTGTTCATTGAACATATGGCTTAATGTGACTACTAGTACTTATCAGCTAAATTATTTTACAATCCTGGAATTTAGTCACATTTGACAGTGTTTTAGTAGACATGCATTCATGAAATTTGTGGGGTTGGTAGGGGCCATCCTCTAAAGCATCTTAGAACATCTTGTGGTGATTATGACACTTAATAGGCCCTTCTTGTTCCAGGGGCAAGTTAGAATCAGGAATGGAAGATAAAGAGTTAACAAACTATTCATTTTATTCACCAGCTATGTGCTGCTGACACAAAAATCACTTTCAGGAGTGAAAAAGCCATGCTGTCAGCTCATACACTTTACATTCCCAAATTTCATTTATACTCAAGGTACAGACACCATGATCTGGCTACCTTCCTCTTACCATGTCTTCGAAGTGAAGACAGCTTGACAGCACTTTCCAGAATATTTTAAAAATCTATAGTATGAAAGGTTCAATCAAAATGCATTCTTCAAGGAGACATCAGGATCTACAACTGGATTATTGTAAATAATGGATTCATATCAAAACCCTCCACGTGTCCATTCATGGCTGCATTGATGCAGTCAATAACCCAAGTCAAAAAAAGGACTTTTATTCCAACTTGGATAGTATCATACAAACTCATGCACACATTTTCAACATGTGCAGGGAAGAGAGCAACTACAGATGAAAAGGAAGAAGAATGAAGAAAAAAAATCACTAACAATCACCATTTTTCAAAAAAATTAGGGGCAAAAGAAAAATCATGAAACAAAGGAGAGAACAACTTCATAGAGGATGATCTTTGAGCTTCTTTGTCGCTGAGGTAGAACAAATGCTGAAGGAACTTGAGGGGATTCTTCAGCCTGAAAACTATCTAGAGGAGTTGGAAATCCCTGCGGAGTCTGAGGTATCCTCGCTTATGTATGAAACGGCAGGCAGGATTACAAACAGACAATGTAAGAACAGAAAAAAAGAACACACTTTGTACCCACACTGTAGCATCGCAGTGTCAAATCAAGAGTGAACATACGAACGTCATCATGAGAGTGAAATCATGGCAGTGAATGCCCAATCATAGAGACCTTTCAGGGGGGAGGGGGAAAAAGCCAAAAAACAAAACAAAGGAGAACATGACCTGCAAGAACAGACCTTCCTGAACACCTTTCTCTAAGATTTGCTTTTTGTACACAGGTGGACGGGTGGAAGAAAGGATAGATAATTTACCTATTTGGTTCTCTGTTTTGTTTCATTGGCAACACAGAATCCACATCAGAGCACACATAGGCTCTGCATAGTGATCCAAGAACACAGAATGAGAGTACAGAAGAAGAAACAAATTACATGTTAAGAGAATATTATAGCTGCATTTAGCAAGGAACCCTGTATAGGCTTTTCTGGTTTTAACTCTTCTTTCCATACAACAAATTAACAAAGTTATCTTGTTTTCCTGAACCACAAAAGTCAAGCTTCTGGGTGCTGTGTCAAGACCTCCTTGTTTCTCCTGAATGGTAACTTACTCTTTCTCTTTCTCTCATCAGGACTTAAAAAAAAAAACACTTGCTCATTCTCCATCTTTGCTCTTAAGCAGCCAACTACTCCCAAAGACTAGAAAGACTTCAGATGAGTGAGGGAACTGCTCAAACATCTACCAAAAATGAAAAATCCCCAGCTGATTTGGAATTCAGGTTCTGAAAGTACCAGGATAGGCAAGAAAAAAATAGCTTGCATTTGTGATGCCTCTTTCCTAGTGGATAGGAAAGAAGAAACTGACCTCTTGAAACAAGAGTAAGTTCCATAGAAAAATACCATTCTCCTTAGCCAAACCGAAGATCATCACAATCTGGCTGCAAGAGCCATCTAATTCGGACATGGAGCAATTGAATCAATCACCTTCTCATTAGTCTTTCAGGGTAACCTATCTCCATACTTCCATCATCATATTGGTACATGAAAGGACTCCAAAACCTGAGGTTCATTACAATACCTCATGCAGCAAATTTATAATGAATAGATGTACTACTACAGGAATTTGAACTGAGATGGGAATGCTCAACGAGTTTCAGGATGAGAGACTGTAAAACTGTCACGGGTGATTTTCACCGGGGAAACACATGGACCTAGAAACAAGTTGAAGAAAAAAAATGGCACAGGAGAATCTGACCAAACACAGTCAATCTGGAGAGAGAGAGAGAGAAACCAGGAAGAGGAGAAACATTTGAACATCACTGGGAGCTTTAAACCGGTATCAGAACTACTGGAATCGGCAAAATACTCTCAAGGAGGAACATCTTGAAAGAGAGTAGCAATTAACTGCAATAGAACATGGCAGGAACTTTAAAGGTTGAGGGGAAAAGTGGTATCACTGTCCTTTGTCCTTGAGGGAGATAGGATGATCAGAGGAAGAGGAACTTCCAATAAGAGAAGGTTGGTGTGCATAGTTTCGAATCTGATGGAGGGAGATGAGTTGGTTGGGGAAGGAGCCTGACGAGGACTTGATCTCTCCCATCCCCATTTGTCCTGCCTTTGGGAAACTGATGGTCTCATATGGGAAATAAGACCGAGAAGAACCTGGCATGGGAGTGGCTGCCATAATGGATGTCGGCAAAGGAGAGAACGCTGAAGTTGTCTTCGTCATGTCATACGGACTTGCCATATGAGCAGGATGAGACATTGGTCCTCTATGATGGTGGTGGTGATGATGGCTTAAATCTTCGCTCAGTGCTGCCATTTCTCGAGCTGAGGCTAAATGATGGGTGAAGCCGTCCAAAGCAGCCATGGACACCGCTGCTGCTGCTGGGCTTCCACTCAGGTCCATGTTTTCATGTTTCACCCAGTACGGCACCTCACGCACCACAGGTTCCCCGCCACCAGCTCCTTCACTTGAACTGTTCACACCCGATGAAGAGGCCCCTACCCCACTGGCATTGTTATTGTTACCCGAAGAGGACGAAGAAGCGGCAGCAGCATTGGCGTGAGCATGTCCTTTCCGCCCTTTCTTCGCCGCCTTCTCCGTGTGTTTCTGCATGTGCTTGGCTAGGTACGTCTCCTGAGTGTAAGACTTCCCGCAGAACTGACAAATGTGTGTCTTCAAGTGCTTGCTCTCTTTGTGCTTGGGGATGTGTTCGAGGAGCGAGGGTTCGTCCTCGAAGCACTTGTAGCACGAGTTGCACTTGTACGGCTTGTCGGTCTGGTGGCACCGGGAGTGGCTTTGGAGATTCGACAGCTGACTGAAGGCCTTCGTGCAGCCTGGGTGCCGACACTTGTAAGGTTTATCTCCTGTGTGGGTCCGAATATGCTGCTGAAGATGCGAGAGCTGCGTGAACTTCCGCTGACAGATCTCACAGCGATACGGCTTGATACCCAGATGGATCCGAGTGTGCTGGGACAGGTAGGAGGAGTTGGCAAACGCCTTCGAACACTGGGTGCACTTGTATGGCTTGGCTTCGCGCATATGCATCTGTGTGTGTAGCTGCAGGTCCGCCTTCGCCCCAAATATCTGCAACAGACACCACACAGGCAAACTTTACGTCTTACGTCTTGTAGGAGACGCGGTTATTTTTTTCCACGACCCCGTTTCATGCCGACCAGCAGAATAAGGAAATTTGGAAGACTCCCCCTCTCACAGAATGAAATGTACAGGAATTTCTTTTTTGGATACCAATTCAAAATTGTGGAAGGAGAGAGGATAGAGACAGCAGCGGGGAACAAAGAGAAATTTTGGTTGTGTGGTTTCTCCTCCTTATATTTCCCTTTTTTGGGCAGGCAAAACATGCAGCTACACACTATCAGAGGCCTTTTTACACCCTATTCGTCCCCCCACCAACGAGGCCTCGAATGAACGAGAAACTTTCTCGTGAAATCTTCTAATACTGTTCTTGAGTTACAAGAGAGAGAAAAAAAAACGGTCATGCGAATGGACAGTGGAGGGCATCCACGTGCATGTGGACCAGAAGAGAGAGTGAGAGTGTGTATGTGACCGGCAGGATTCATCTTCTTATTCTGCTTGCCAGCACTGAAACAAGACATACAACAAGCCACACATTCCCAAGACCCTTCAAGTGAAGGTCTTTTGAGAATCCCCTTTCCCATAACCTCGTACGACAATCGGTACATTCATCTCCCATAAAATATCCTCACTCGTTAACTCGCTTCGTGCGTGCAACAGAACAATTGGCGCAATGATCGACGAATAGTAGCTAACGTAGCACCGTGACTACTTGCGCACTCTATGGAGCAACCCAGAAAGATGGAACTTCTCTGACGTATCGCTAAATGGCAGGTAAGGACAAGGACCTCCGTTCTAAGACCTGAGCACCATCAGCAGTGGGAGTACTAACTCAGACGAACCGAATTCTGGACAAGCCCCAGGGAAAGAACAGAAGAAAAAAAAACGATGATGGCTAAATGAGAGCACTGGTCAGCGTTGGTCATATCCGCTGCGGTTTTTTTTTGTCCTCCTCTCTTCCTTTTCCCATAAAAAGGGTTAATGTGAGGCAAGCACGGAAAGCGTCCATTCCCAGGCAACTCACGCCGTCATAATCGCTTTTCATGTGTGCCCAAACACTGTGTATTCTCTCAATGAAGGGAAGGATACCGAGAGACAGAGAGAGAGAAATGGTGTTCTCCCTTTAACGGTGCCCATATCCGCGGCGACCATTAGGATACAGGCGAGAGCCCAAGCGGACTGAATAATATCATATCTGGTGGCCCATTTCATGGCCATGCCTCCATGGTTTCTTGCCTTATAAATCCTCTTGATTGTGTATTTTATGACACTACACCTTGAGTCTCCATTACTCATGGGCAAAAGACATTCCTGCCCCTCTCTTTCGCCTTGCGGATACGAAAACCCGCAAAAACCGATGCAGAGGCGGGTGAGGGGTGAGAACTGTTAAGTCGTCAAGGAAATATAACGTGTGTTTTTCTTTCTCCCTCGCCTCTCTGGGGGCTGGGCTTGGGAACTGATTGAGAAGGAAGGAAATGGCGTCCCCGAAACTCACGAGTTTCTCGTTCATGTCTTCCTCCTCTTTCGACCCCCGGCATAATTTTTCTCCGTCGTCGAGACCGGCAGCGGTTAGCCCATCAATCATATTTTCTACCCTCTTCTCTTTTTTTTTCCCCTACCCCTCCAGGTCCGCAGTGCCCCGAAAGAGTTAACTCCGTCTCAACGACTACCGCACGAAGAATTATTGGGGTAAGAGTATCAACCCGTTCATGCTCAAAAGTTCTATTTGGAACCACCAATTTCAAGAATTTCCCTGGCCTTGCATACTTTCTTTTCTTCGAAAAAGTCTTTTGTCTCCATTACCACAGCAATGCAAGCTATCAGATGATTTATTTACAATGTGTCAATTGTGTCTGCGCGCATCTAGAGCAAATCGAAGACTTTGCAAAGAATTTTGCGAAGAATTTGCATGAATTCTTTTCCCATAAACTTTTTCTAGCCTTGGCAAGTTAATTACGGAAAGTAGGATAGAAAAGTCGAGATGCACGCAAGGAAAAATCAAGATTTACTTGTTAGCAGAACTAATGAAGTTGCATGCCTTTAATATATTCATTTAATTTATTTAATTTTTATTGTTTTACATTTGAACATAATCTGAACAAATTTCCTGAAAACCAAGTACGCGTTTCCTAAGCCTTATTGGATGTACAATACTAAATGGAATATTTTTCCCAAGCCTGAAACATAATTCGGGCAAGAAAGAGTTAAATGAATAAGTAGGATGTGATGGGTCGTGACAGCTCGTCGTAATAATACATTTATGGAGAGAGACAGAGACAGAGAGAAGGGAGTGGGTTCTTTATCTTTTGGCATGCAAGTCCACTCGAATGGCCAATAAAGGGATCCAGGTTGATCCCTGCACGAAACGGGCCAGAGAAACGCGAAAAAAAATCCGAGGGAGGGTATAAGGGGATTCAAATCACGGAATCTGCTTGCCCCACCCCCCACGACGAGGAAATGCCACGAACTGCGACAGTCTAGTTCGGTGTAATGGGATGGAAAGGAGTCCAAGATGATTGGATAGAGAGATTCCTTTCGTTTCCTATCGAACCAACGCAACGATATACCGAATATCGAGACGATGACCTTTGGGGAAATTCCCCATCTTCAACGAAACACGCAATCCTGTCTGAGTCTGATGACACTCAACCCGCATGCCTTTTTTTATTTATTGCTTCTCATAACGGAATGAGAAGACCTTCGGAAACTATTTCTAACCCTTGTATCCCAGTACTGTCCGTGCCATGATCAAGGTCGAAATAGAATACATATTACAGAATGTAAAAGCACAAAAAAATCGGTATCAGTTGGCGGCAAGTACGTCGGATCGGGAACCGGATATGTCTGGCCACGTGGAAACATATTGGATTCCCCTTCGATGTGAATATTTTAGCATGTGTAGGAAGGAAAGAATTCTTCAGCCCACGCCCTATTCCGTAGACTAGTCCAACAAACCTAAATCGTGACAAATGCCAGGTGGACTTCCTACAAGAAAAAAAAGCCTCTCCTTCCCCCTGCTCTCCCGTCCAATAATGAGCAATTATGACATTGCAAAGGGTGATTCCTCATCCCCATGCACTTTTCTACAGCTCTCTCGTGATCCTCCATCAGGAAAATAGCGAATATGCAAAACATCAAACGGTTTGACAACCATAGCAAATATATTGTGACGGATGAGGACGGTATCGAGAGGCTCGACTGAATGTCCGGGGTTCGGTGGTGTAGAGCCACCTGACCGGCAATCAGGAGGCCCGGGTTCAATTCCCGGCCGTTCCTTGGCTTCTTTCGTCCTCTCATGCCTTTCATCGTCCGTCTCCCACTTTCCCTCCGTAACAATATCAAGGAATATATTCCGGGGGAGGAGGGAGGAAAGTGGACTGTGGGGACTCTAAAACTCGCTGCTGACAATTATTTGTCTCTCTGTGCCTGCTTCCCCTCGACAGAGTTTCAATACCGATATAAACCGACTAACCCTTTATTCTCTTTTTTTTATATTTAAAGTAAAAGGATCCAAAAGAAAGACGTCATATCTGGTTGGATGATGGGGGCAATTAGGGTCTATCAATGTACAATCCAAGTCTCAAGGACTTTTTCCATGCAGACAGCGGCGGGCCTGGTCTCGACTGACCTTCCCAGTATCCGCTTCGTGTCTTGTTACTGCAGACCTTTTTTGTCGTCTTTCAAGTCGGGTATAATGTACATACAAGATTACTTTTTCCGATGACAAAGCCCTCCTCTGTGTCCACACATGACCGATTTTTTATGGGGCCCACCACATCTGAAGTCGCACGTTCTATCACGACAGAAAGAGGGGCGAGTGGACGTGCCTTGCAACATAATCAAAGTTCAAGGAAGGGGTGAGAGGGAGGGTTGGTGAAAAAGAGAAGTACAGCGAAGAAAGGCAGAAGGAAGAACAAGAAACAACTCTCGGTACTTGCCATGTCCCCATACCCCCGTGGCTATAACCCTGAGAATGCCTGCCTGCACTGCTGGCAGCTATATAACTTACGACGTCTACCAAAAAAACCGTCTGGGATGCTCCCACGGTTGCTCGATCCCTGTTCCTCTCTCCAACGTCTCTTCTCCTTGCCCTTCCATTAAAACTTACTCTACTTGCCATCATTTCCTGCTTCGATCGATATAATGAATTGACATCACGTTGCACGTCTCTAAATTTGTTTCTTTTGTCGCCTGAACGAAAATCTACTTTTGTGGTATTATTTTCGGGGGATATGAATCTATTATTGGAAAGTCTGACCAGCTGGCACCTTCAGGTATTTCATGTTTTAATGACAACATCCTAACACCAGGAAAGTGCATAATTTAACAGGCGCAAGATCATTCACGGTATCAGTCCAGTTTTCCCTTTCACAACTAGGACTCAAGGGGCCATCAAGAGATAGGAAAGACGGGAATAAACTCGCTGACAAGGATGAGTGAGAAAGAGGTATTGAGATCTGGCAACCGTGGGTCGCCTGTGGCAAGGTCAGTCCCGGAAAAGGCTTTTTTGTTGTCTGGAAGGAGGGAGAGGTGTGGGTTGGTGGTAACCCTTTCTTCTTTTTTATTGTTCGTTTCTTTCCCCTTTTCCCCATCCCTCGTCATCTTCGGGCACTGGCTCTAAATCGTCCTCGACTTTACCCTAGTCAACAGTCACACGACTCGTTCTCCCTTTCCCCTCATGCACGTCTCCCACCCTCCAGAATTTTTTTTTTTCTCGAGGAGCACTAGAACGGCAAAAAGCGATACGCGAGATCAAATCCATTACTGAATCTTTTAAACTAAAACCGTGCTGGAGTTCCCATTCCAAAACCAGTATTTTGGCCCAGTCAAGTCAAACATCCAGGTTTTGATACTTTTCGCCTTTCTAGCAAACCTGATGGCTTCTTAAAAAAAAAAAACTAAACGGTCGTCGTTGGTCTTTGGAAAGAATCAGCTGTGAAACGATTACTACTACTGTCTGAGAAAATAAAAATGAGGTTAAGTTGGAGTTTTTATTTCATTATAATGCTTGAATGCGTCAAGTATCCTGGGCGATCAACCGAGGACATCAAACAGCTCTTTTCGGCGATGGGATGAAGGTAAGGCGAAGAGATGTGAAGAAGGAAGTGGACCTCACGCATGAGTGCTGGGATCCACGTGTAACACTGTGTATTCCTGGCGTGACCATCAAAGGAGAGAAAGAGAGTAGAAAAAATCTATCCTGAGAAACGTCTCAAGCGTTTAGAAAATCCTCACGCCCAACCGATCAGCGATATATCTCAACGGATCATTGACGACTGATCGATCCCTCCATCACTAGATTCCTCCGCACAGTTCCCGCAGTGTAATTAAAGGCATTTCTGTAGGAGGCATGTATGGAGACCTTCGCATAATTCTCTACTTCGTTGATCCGGGATGGAGCACAATATATATACACACAGGTATCTAATTGGAAAG